TTGGTTGCTGTGGGCTCATGCTAGGCGTGTGGGTGTGCCTATGCAAACGAGATCCGCCCCTGGAGTTCTTTTCCACACTCGCCATAATTCACCACCAGATGTCAGGGTAGAGCTCATCCTGACTCTGCTTACAGAGGTATAAAAGAAAGAATCAAAATCACTTTCTGTCTGTGTAAGGGCCTTTTCTTACTGTAACAGTCTGAGGCCTGGTTCTTAGGCTAAGGCTTTTGGCTAAGCAGCAGAGGCAGCCATAAGCTGGGAAATGTATGGTCACATCCTCACCTTCCAAACTAGTCACATGGAAATAAGGTGCTATTGGGCTGTTAGGAATACAATCCTGTCCTGATATTCCTATCACCTCCAGAGAAAGGGAAGAGCCTAGAAGATGTAAAAGGAAACTTAGTTTAATAGCATCCTGTCTGGCAAGAACTCACTTATCAATAGCTGGGATGTGAAATCCTCATTTCTGTATTGTTCTATCGCTGTAGTCTCCACTTCCCTATTGTTTGTCTGTATAATCTCTGTCTGGTTCTGTAATTGTTTCTGTCTGCTGTATAATTAATTTTGTTAGGTATAAACCAGTTAAGGTGGTGGGATATAATTGATTAAATAACCATGTTACAGTATGTTAGGATTGGTTAGTTAAATTTCAGTAAAATGATTGGTTAAGGTATAGCTAAGCAGAACTCAAGTTTTACTATATAGTCTGCAGTCAACCAGGAAGTAAGGGGGGAAATGGGAACAGGGACTGGGGGTGGGAGAACTGGAATCATGCTTTGCTAAGGCGGGGTGGGATTGGGAACAGGGAATGGGAACAGGGAGACAGGCAGGGCTCTGTGGTGTCAGAGCTGGGAAGGGGGACACAGGAAGGAAACTGGAATCATGCTTGCTGGAAGTTCACCCTAATAAACATCAAATTGTTTGCACCTTTGGACTTCGGGTATTGTTGCTCTCTGTTCATGCAAGAAGGACCAGGGAAGTGAGAGGGTGAAAAAATAAGCCCCCTAACACAGAAGTCAAAGATTCAATCCCTGCTCCTGACAACTGCACCCAATGGCATCAGTGTTACATTAATGTAAAGAAAAGATTATGGGGTGACTTGATTGCATTCTATCAGTACCTATATGGAGTACATAAACTTGAAAATTAAGGGCTCTTCAGTCTAGCAGACAAAGACTAACAAGATGCAGCGGGTGGAAGTTGAAGCAAAACAAACTCAGACTAGAAATAAGATGCATTTAAAAAAAAAAAACAGCGAGGGTAACTAACCATCGGAACAATTTACCAAGGGCTGTGGTGGATTCTCAGTCACTAGCAAATTAAGTCAAGACTGGAAGCTTTTCCTAAGGAAAATAAAAAAGATGGAGAAAAGTTGTTCTCTGTTGCCACAGAGGGAAGGATAAGAGGAAATGGGTTCAAACTAGAGCATGGCAGATTTAGATTAAACCTCAGGCAGAGCTTCCTAACTATAAGAACAGGCCGACAGTGGAACAGACATGCCTAGGGAGGTTGTGGAAGCTCCTTCATTGGAGTTTTTCAAAAAAAGTCTGGCCAGCCACCTGTTTTGGATGGCTTAGACACAACAAATCCTTCATCTTGGCAGGGGGTTAGAGTAGGTGACCCTCCTTGCGGTCTCTTCTAACCCTATGGTTCTATGATCTGTGCTAATTCAAACAGTAATGAATTCAGGACAATCCTGTGGCCTGTGCTAAGCAGGACGTCAGACTAGCCGATCACAGAGGTCTCTTCTGGCCTTGGAATCTATTCTAGGTGGATGTTCCTGGCAATAACTGTGAGAGTTGGTGTCTCTCTCTTACACTGTAATGTCTGCAGTGATTGTATATGGGGCTGTGATCCATCCGTCTCCACTCCAGGCTCCAGCACTGGTTATTCTAGGAGTAGTGTGTGTGTGTGTGTGTGGGGAGGGGGGATGATTGTTGCTGGTGGGGTGCAGGGATGTAGCTGTACACTAGCAGAATTGGGGGGGAGGGATAGCTCAGTGGTTTGAGCATTGGCCTGCTAAACCTAGGGTTGTGAGTTCAATCCTTGAGGGGGCCATTTAGGGATCTGGGGCAAAAATCTGTCTGGGGATTGGTCCTGCTTTGAGCAGGCGGTTGGACTAGATGACCTCCTGAGGTCCCTTCCAACCCTGTGGTCTCCTGGCCACAAAACCAAACCCACAAGGTTTACTGGTTGCCCATGGCTGATGGGGTTGCTCCCAAAGAGAAGCCTTGTAAATCAACAGGCACTTGCAGCAGCAGCTTCCCCCAGCTGGGTCCCCTGTCTGGCCTGGAAGGGGCAAGGGCTGGGATTGCAACAGGTTGGTGGGGGCGGCTCTTGGACGGGCATAGAGAAATGTTGCTGTCTATTGGGAAGTGAAGAGGCTACCTGGGGCCGAGGTGTTTGCCCACCTGGGAGGTGTGTTGGGTGGGGGCAGACACAGGAAATGGCCCTGTGATTAGGCTGCTTTGGGGGGGGGAGCGCTGTGGCATGGGCACAACACCAGCCCCTGCCTCCTCAGTAGATAATTATCACCCTGGGTGCGACTGCCTGAATAACTGTCCCAGGGGGTGAAGGCTGTGTGTGGGGAGTGGGGTACTTGCCTCGGTGGGGAGACAGAGTGTTGTGTGGGGTCAATTGGGAGAGCTAGGGGTGGGGGGGAGATGTGTGTACATCCTGGAGGAGATGGGGAGGGGGGCAGCTCTCCAGGAATGGCTGATGGTTGTGATAATCTCTCTCCCTGAGGGCCAAAGGGTAGTGGAGTGGGTGGGGGAGAGAGGGGTGATCTCCCTGGCGTGGCCATCTTGGTACATCTCTTTCCCTGGTGGCCCTCCCCAACATATTCACATCTCCAGAACTGCAGATCCCCTCAGCCACTCATTCCCATCTCCTGGAGCCACCCAGCCCCACAGGCAGCTGTGTGACTTGGCCCCCAGATGGGCCATGCCCCTTGGCTCCTGAGGCACTGTGACCTTCCCTGGGCTGGATGGGAGCTGACAGGCCCGTTCCTGCCTCAGGCTCCCCATGCAGGGGCATAGTGACTGTGCAGGGAAGCATGTGTTGAGTTGTGTTGAAAGCTCCTTCTCTGTGGTAAGCATCCGGCAGCCCCACAGGAGGTTGGGACACTTCCTGGCAGGCCTCCAAGGAGACACGGGGGATCAGATCAGTCTGGGGGGAGCAGCAGGAGAACCAGGCATAAAGCTGGTGATTAGTACCCACACTGGGAGCCTGGAGCCCACCTCTGCACCAGGACAGAGAGACCCAGGTGACCCAGGTGAGTGTGGGGAGGGAGATATGGGTGGGGTGTGTGTGTCAATGGGGAGGGCAGTGGATAGGATGAGGGGTTTGGGGGCTGGATCACTAGAAGAAGGGGTGACTGGCCTGAGGGGGGTGAAGGACCCTCTGTGACAGGACAGGACCCCTGGCCCTCATTCCCCCTGGCCAGAGGAGTCTCTCATCCTGGGACCCCTAAATCTGTGCCCCTATCACAGTCCCCTCTGCTTCCAACTTGTCTCCTAGCTAGAGACCAGCCTGTTCGCCCTCCCTTGGGGCTTCTCCCACAGGGATCAGGCAGATACTCCTGGGGGTGCCTCTCTCATGAGGGGGCTGCATGGGCTGGGGTGGGGGAAGATGACTCTGCTCCATGTTCTCCTCAGATTGACACTACCCCATTACTCTCTTTGCAGGCTTGTTTTCAGGAGTCCACGAGGGGGTTGTTCTGTGTCACCACGCCTGGGGGCCGCCATGTCGGAGCTGGAATCCCTGCTGCACAGCTTCCTCAGGGTGCAGCCCAGAGTCTTTGGGGTGAGGCCTTTCCCGGGGTGAGGCCTTTCCCGGGGAGAGACAGAATTGGGGCTTCCTTCCCATGTCTCCTGCCTTGGCCTCCCTGATGTTCCCTCCACCCACAGCTGGGGCAGAGCCCCCAGACCTGGCTCTGTGGGCAGTGGGGACCCAGCTCCTTAGCCACCCCCTAGAGATGAGGGTGACACCCTGGGGGATGTGGAGAAGGTGGGTGGGGATCCAGCAGTGCCACTACCGGCTATGGGTATACGGAGAGGCCAATCTTCTCCCGGGCCTGCTCCTCTGCTGCCAGGACTCCAATCACCCATCTAAGGATCTTGAGTGCTCTGGGTCTTGGGGCTCTGCACTGGCCCATAGGGCTACTTGGGCTCTGATAAGGCTTGAAACTCAGAAGAGTGGGGGCAAGTAAATGCCCATGTGGTTTATCAGCACACAGCCCCCCACCCCGGCCCTGATGCCTGGCTCAGCAAGGCTGGCTTGTGCTCCCTGCATTCCAAGGGATGGCATCCCTGCACGTTAATATCTGACTGGCATCCTTAGTGACTGCGATGCTCCCAGCCCCCTTACCAATGGCTGCAGTGTCTCTCGTTGCCAGGCGGTGCTAGTGGTGGTGGGGCTGCTGCAGGTGGCCTTCGGAACCCTCTTCGTCATTGACAACTGCGCTTACACGGATAGTGTCGGCATCCACTTCTTCCCAGGAATCCTGGTAAGAGAATGAGTTGTTTCAGCTACCCCTGCTGGCCCACCCACCTCTGCCAGTGCCCTTCAACACTGACCTATAGCCCCCCTGCCCTGGGCTCCCCACATGCAGAACTCTGGTGCCCCTCAATCCCAGCCCTGCCCCTTCTGCAGCTCTGCTGAGGCCCTGAAGTGCCGGCCCTGCTTTCCTAGTGCTGAGTAGCTGTCTCTCCTCCAAAGCCCTGAGTGTTACTACTTGTGCTCTGACTCTTTTCCCAACAGTTATTCTTGGCTGGCATCATTGCCATCGCTGCTGACAGAGCACCTAGCATGGCCCTGGTGAGTGACCAATTCTGTTCCTCCCTCTCTCTCTCTCTCTCTCTCCCTCTCTCTCTCTCCTCTATCTCACTCCCTTGGGCACCATGTTAATCCATAGCAGCTGTGATAAATGGGGGTGGGGGGGAGGGTAGCTTCCTTTTGTGGACACCCAGCCAGCCAGTTAGCTAGAGAATCCCTTTTGGTAGCTGTTCTCTACTTGCTTTACCTGTAAAGGGTTAAAAAGTCTGACTGCATGCATAGGTAAAGGGAAGTGAGTGGGCACCTGACCAAAAGAGCCAATGGGACGGCTAGAACTTTTGAAATTCCCAAGTGCGCCTTCCTGGGTACCAAGGGGTTTTGCATTTGGGTGGTGGCAGCATCTACCCATCCAAGGTCAGACAGAAGCTGTAACCTTGGGAGTTTAATACAAGCTTGGAGTAGCCAGTATTCATTTTTAGAATCCTTGCGGGCCCTCGCCTTCTGCACTCGGAATGCCAGAGTGGGGAATCCGCCTTGACATGGGGGCAGAGGTGGGATCATTTTGACCCAGAAGCACAGACCTCAGGATTTTAAAAGGACACATTTTTCCTTTTGGCTGCTTGAAAGCCAGGGAGGTTGTTTTTCTTTTTCTTTGCTGCCTGAGGGGGAACAGGCATACAAAGGGTTCAGCCTGCAAAGCCAGCTAGTCCAACAAGCAGTTTATTTTTTTTCTAGCTTTGTGGCAACGAAATAGTTAGGCTAGAGTAGGGCAGCCTGTGCATGAGGCACCGAAACCTTAGAAAAACTAGTCTTCCCAAAGCGGCACGCCACGGAGAAGACAAACCGAGATCAAGCCCAGACATCCAGCTCCATGATGGAAATGCAGGGAGGGGATGGGGGATGGGGAACTTCCCGGGACTGAAGTGTCAGCCCTCCCCCAACCGAGACCCAGGTGCCAAGATGGAGGGATGCCCTTAACGCAGACTGAGTTCTGACTGTGGAAGACAGGATTTTTGTCCTATAGATGATGCACTTGGAAGCGGAGCAAAAATGAGAGGCAAAGCGCTTGGAGTTGGAAGTGGAGGAGAAAAGAGAGGTGAAACGCTTGGAAATGAAGTGCTTGGAGGCAGAGTTAGAGTTGAAGCTCTTAGAGCTGGAAAGGGCTAAGCTGGGTCCACCAGGTAACCCTAACAGTCCTTCTCCAGGTACTGCTCCCCATTCCAAGAAATTCCCCACATACTAGGTAGGCAATGATATAGGGGCCTTCTTAGAAAATTTTGAAAGGGCCTGCCTTGGGTACAACATCCCTACAGACCACTATATGGTGGAGTTGAGGCCACAACACAGTGGACCCTTAGCAGAGGTGGCAGCTGAAATGCCTAAAGAACACATGAATGAGTATAAACTTTTTAAACAAAAGGCCAGAATTAGGATGGGGCTAACACCTGAGCATGTCCGTCGGCGGTTCAGAGCCCTAAGGTGGAAACCAAACGTGGCATTTTCCCAATGCCTACCACATTGTAAAAAATTGGGATGCCTGCATATCAGGAGCAAATGTTAAATCTCTGGAAGATCTGTGTCTCCTAATACAAATGGAGCAGTTCTTAGAGGGTGTTCCTGAGGAAATAGAAAGGTACATCCTAGATGGGAAGCCCAAAACTGTAATCGAGGTGGGGGAGATCAAAGCCAAATGGGTGGAGGTGGCAGAGAAGAAGAAAGCTAGTAGCAGTTGGTGGGGATACCAGAAGGGGCAACCTGAGACGATACCCCACCATCGGGGTCAGCCCAAAGTCCCACCTTGCAAGGAGGAGCCCTCCACACATCCAGGGAGACCCCAGATGCCCTCTTGTCCCACCACCCCACTCTCCAGCCACCCACCTCACCCCAGCCCACAGTCAGCTGGGCGATGCTTTAAATGAAATGAGCTGGGGCATGGGAAGGCCAACTGCCCCAAGAGCACCAGCTGACTGCAACTCATCACCCCGGGATCCCACCAAGAGCCGTCAGGCCCAGATGCCTTGCAAATACCCCTAGAGTGAAGGGAAACTGTGAGTGTGGGCAGGAGGAAGATTACTGCATGGCGACACACTGGAGCACAGGTGTCAGCTATCCACCAATCCCTGGTGGACCCCAAATTCATCGACCCAGAAACCCAGGTGATGGTGCAACCCTTTAAGGGCAACTCTTTTTAACTTGCCTTCAGCCAGGTTGCTTGTCCAGTACAAGGGCTGGTCAGGAATATGGACTTTTGCAGTCTATGACGATTATCCCATTCCCATGCTGCTGGGAGAAGACTTAGACAACTATGTGAGGCTAACAAAAAGGGTGGGGATGGTCACCCACAGCCAGGCTAAACAGGCCTCCACACTGAACTCCATTCCTGAGCCTCCTACAGGGACCCAGCCAGAGGCGGTGAAACCAATCCAGAGTCTGACAGCAGTTGTAGCTCCAGTTCCTGGGACCCAGCCAGAACCAGCCCAAGGATCAGAACTGGTGGAACAGTCAGCACCAGAGCCCATGCTTGCAATCCCACCAGAGTCAGGGAAGCCAGCACCAAAGGGCTCCAGAAAGCCTGCACCTGTAGCAGCAGCTACACCGGTGCAAGAAGCTCAACCGGAGCCTGAAATACAACCCAGTGCACCAGCTGAGAGTGGTTCACACTCAACGGAGACACCCCCATCACCTGCATCACTTCCAGTGGGACCAAGCCCAAGTCCACAACCCAGCAAGGAACTAATGTCTCCAGCATCAAGGGAGCAGTTCCAGGCAGAGCAGGAAGCAGATGAGAGACTCAAGGGAGCTTGGATGGCAGCACGGAGTGACCCACTGCCTCTCAGCTCTTCCAATAGGTCCAGGTTTGTTATAGAAGGAGGACTCTTATACAAGAAAACCCTTTCTGGTGGGCACAAGGAGGACTGGCATCCTCAGAGACAGTTGGTAGTTCCAACTAAGTATAGGAAAAAGCTCTTGAGCTTAGCCCATGATTGCCCTAGTGGCCATGCTGGGGTGAACAGGACCAAAAACCATTTGGGGAAGTCATTTCACTGGGAGGGAATGGGCAAAGACATTTCTACCTATGTGCAGTCTTGTGAGATGTTTCAGAGGGTGGGAAAGCCCCAAGACCAGGTCAAGGCCCCTCTCCAGCCACTCCCCCCATAATTGAGGTTCCCTTTCAGCATGTAGCTGTGAATATTCTGGGTCCTTTCCCTAAGAAGACACCCAGAGGAAAGCAGTACATACTGACTTTCATGGATTTTGCCACCCGATGGCTGGAAGCAGGAGCTCTAAGCAGCACCAGTGCTAAAAGCATGAGCCAGGCATTGGCAGACATTTTTTCCAGGGTAGGTTGGCCCTCAGACATCCTTACGGATTCGGGAACTAGCTTTCTGGCAGGGACCATGAAAGGTCTTTGGGAAGGTCATGGAGTGAACCACTTGGTGGCCACCCTTACCACCATCAAACAAATGGTCTAGTGGAGAAGTTTAATGGGACTTTGGGGGCCATGATATGTAAATTCATGAATGAGCACTCCAATAATTGGGACCTAGTGTTGCAGCAGTTGCTCTTTGCCTACAAGGCTGTACCACATCCCAGTTTGGGGGTTTTACCCTTTTTCAACTCGTTTATGGCCACAAAGTTAAGGTCCATTACAGTTGGTGAAGCAGCAATGGGAGGGGGATACATCTGCTCCAGGAACTAACATTTTGGACTTTGTAACCAACCTGAAAAACACCCTCAAGGACTCTCTAGCCCTTGTTCAAGAAAAGCTACAGGATGCTCAACAAGAGCAAAAGGCCTGGTATGACAAACATGCCAGAGAGCGTTCCTTCAGAGTAGGTGACCAAGTCATGGTCCTAAAAGTGCTCCAGGCCAATAAGATGGAAGCATCGTGGGAGAGGCCATTTATGGTCCAAAAGCACCTGAGAGCTGTTAATTACCTCATAGCATTCCCAGGCCCCATCCTGAAACCTAAAGTATACCATGTTCATTCTCTAAAGCCCTTGTATTCCCAAGAAATCAAGGTTCTCCAGTTTACAGCCCAGGAGAGAGTTGACGCTGAGTGGCCTGAAGGAGTCTACTATAAAGGAAAAAGCAATGGTGGCGTAGAAGAGGCCTTTCCATCACCCTTGGACATAAGCAGCGATAGCAAATCCAGGAGCTGTGCACCAGCTTTGCGCCAATGTTTTCAGCTACCTCAGGATGGACAGAACGGGCCCACTCCATTGACACAGGTGATGCTCGCACAATTGAAGCCCAACTCTACCGGATGGCTCCTCAAGCCAAAACTGCGATAGAAAGGGAGATCAAGGACATGTTACAGATGGGTGTAATCCACCCCTCTGAGAGTGCATGGGCCTCTCCAGTAGTTCTTATGCCCAAACCAGATGAGGAAATCTGCTTTTGCCTGGACTACCGTAAGCTAAATGATGTAACTCACCCAGAAAACTATCCCATGCCATGCACAGATGAGCTATTGGAGGAACTGGGACATGCCGAGTTTATCTCCACCTTAGACTTAACTAAGGGGTACTGGCAAGTGCCACTAGATGACCCAGTCAAGGAAAGGTCAGCCTTCATCACCCACGTAGGGCTGTATGAATTTAATGTACTCCCTTTCGGACTGCGAAATGCACCCGCAACCTTCCAGAGATTGGTAGATAACCTTCTGGCTGGATTTGGGGAATTTGCAGTTGCCTACCTTGATGATGTGGCCATATTCTCAGATTCATCGGCAGAACACCTGGAATACCTCCAAGCTGTCTTCCAGCGCATAAGGGAGTCAGGATTAACCGTTAAGGCCAAGAAGTGTCAAATAGGCCTAAACAGGATAACGTACCTTGGACAACGGGTGGGTCAAGAAACTATCAACCCCCTACAGGCTAAAGTAAATGCTATCCAAAATTGGCCAGTTCCTAAGTCAAAGAAGCAGGTCCAATCCTTCTTGGGCTTGGCTGGGTATTACAGATGATGTGCACCACACTACAGCCAAATTGCCACCCCACTGACCGACGTAACCAGGAAAAAACAACCAAATGTAGTTCAGTGGACTGAGAAGTGTCAGAGAGCCTTTAACCAGCTTAAGGCAGCCCTTACATCTGACCCTGTACTGAGGGCCCCAGACTTTGACCAACCTTTCGTCGTAACCACAGATGCGTCTGAGTGTGGGGTAGGAGCAGTTTTAATGCAGGAAGGACCAGATCAACAATTCCATCCTGTCGTGTTTCTCAGCAAAAATCTTTCTAAAAGGGAAAGCCACTGTTCAGTCTCCGAAAAAGAATGTTACGCCATTGTGTATGCTGTGGAGAAGCTACGCCCATACATTTGGGGACAGCGGTTCCACCTGCAGACTGACCATGCTGCACTGAAGTGGCTTCACACAGTCAAAAAGAATAACAACAAACTTCTTCAGTGGAGTTTAGCTCTTCAAGACTTTGATTTTAAAATACAACACATTTCATGAGCCCTAACAAAGTGGCTGATGCACTCTCCCGGGAAGGTTTCCCAGAATCAGCTGGGTAAAAATGTCCCTGTATTCTACGTCATTGTAGTCCTTGCAATGTGAAAAATACTGTTTAGTTCATGTAATTAGCAAAATTAAAGATGCATGTATCTTATTAACTTGGTTTCCTAAACCTCCAGGAAGAAATCCCAGCCAGTGTGGACCCAACCTGAACCAGGCTGGCCAGCACTGTCTATGATTTGGGGGGACGTGTGATAAATGAGAGGGGGGTACCTTCCTTTTGTGGACACCCAGCCAGCCAGCTAGCTATAGAATCCCTCTTGGTAGCTGTTCTCTACTTACTTTACCTGTAAAGGGTTAAAAAGTCTGACTGCATGCATAGGTAAAGGGAAGTGAGTGGGCACCTGACCAAAAGAGCCAATGGGATAGCTAGAATTTTTTTAAATTGCGGGCGGGGGGGGGGACTTTCTTTGTGTCTGTTGTGGTTCTCCGGAGAAGAGGGAAACAGGGCAGCAGTTATGCTGTGAGAAGCTGAAGGCCAGGTATGAAAATCATACCTAGAATTGCTTATTTGGAACCCAGATATGTAAGAGGATCAGAAAATGTCTAGAAAGACACGATTAGGTTTATTTTGTTTATTTCTTATGGCTTGTGGATTCCTCTGTGCTAACCCCAGATGCTTTTGTTGCTTGTAACCTTTAAGCTGAACCCCCCAAAAAACTATTTGGGGTGCTTAATTTTTGAAATTGCTCTTTTTAAAAATCTAGCAATAGTCTGAGTTTTCAGATGTATTTTATTTCTTTTTGTTTTTAATGAAATTTACCATTTTTAAGAACAGGATTTGGATTTTTGTGTCTTAAGAGGTTTGTGCATGTTTTTAGTTAGCTGGTGGCAACAGCTGATTTCTTTGTTTTCCTTTCTCAGCTCTTCCCTGGAGGGGAGGTGAAAAGGCTTGAGGGTACCCCACAGGAAGGAATTCCCAAGTGCTCCTTCCTGGGTTCCAGGGGGTTTTGCACTTGGGTGGTGGCAGCATCTATCCATCCAAGGTCAGAGAGAAGCTGTAACCTTGGAGGTTTAATACCAGCCTGGCATGGCCAGTATTAATTTTTAGAATCCTTGCGGGCCCCCACCTTCTGCACTTGAAGTGCCAGAATGGGGCATCAGCCTTGACAGCAGCATTGTTCATAGTTCTGCTGTCTTCCAGATGAAGGCCTGTCTGGTGATCCAGATCACTGCTGCAGCTGTTGTCATGGTGATCAACTTCCTCTACCTGAGGGACCTGCTCTCCTATCTCAGTTTTGCCTGTGATCTCCAGGACCAGCTCCAGAATTGCCGTGTGCATGATCAGATCATGGTGGGTCCCCCGCAATCCCGTGTCCAGCCCTGCCTTGTTTTGGGAGGCCATTGACTGTTTTCTGGGGGAGGTATATGATCCTGGGGGATTCAGCCTCCATCTTTTATGCCTGGACTTCCACTCCACCCCCTCAGTTGCTATAGATCTGAAGGCCAGAGTAGACTATTGTGATCATCTAGTCTGACCTCCCACATAGCATAGGCCAGAGAATGTCATGTCTTAGGTTCTTCTCTCACCCCATTACTGTAGTATCTGAATACCTTACATGCTTTAATGTATGGATCCTGGGAGGCAGGGCTGTGCTATTATCTCCATCTTACAGATGGGAAAGGCTAACTCTCATCACGCCTAAATACTCATGAGGATCTGGGCCTAAGTGACTTGCCATAGATCACACAGGACATGGATAGCAGAGCCAGGGATGGTTGGACCACCCTTCCTCTCCCAATAATTGGACTTTACCCAATAATTCCTGCCCAGCTGAACCTAATATCTTGTTGGTTGAATTGCAGCATCTATCTTAGAAAAGGATCCAGTCTCAATTTAAGAACTCCAAGTAGTGGAGATTTCAGTCCATGGGAAGCCGTCCCAATGGTCCAGTGTCCCAAGATAGGCACCCCCCACCACTAAAGCCACTGGATAGCTGCAGAGACTTGTGGGGGTTTTGTTTTCAAAATCCTGCTCAATTCTCCTTTTCCCACCCCAGTTTGTGTTGGAAAATCTGTGGGATAGTCCCTCAATGCCCCTGATATGAATAGGATGGTTGGCTTTTGGATTGGAGGTTACTAGAAATGGTTGACTTTTATTTGTCTGATCATTCGGTGTTTTCAAACAATTCTACTGACTTTATGCAATGTGCCTCTGAAGCTGCATGTCTAAGTTAGTGCAACCTGGGACTCAGGGGAGCTGGATTGAAGAAACCTTGTGGTTAAGGCACTGATCTGGAAGCCAGGAGTTCTGGGTTGAGTTTCTCAGTCTGCCACAAACTTTCTGTATGACCTTGGACAAGTCACTTCATCTCTCGGTGCCTCAGTTCCCCATCTATAAAACGGGGATAACAGTCCTTCCAGTCTCCCAGCTTTTGCCTGTCTTGACTATTTAGATTGTAAGATCTTTGGGACACAGATCATCCCTTACAATCTACTCTTAGCACAATGGGATCCCAAGCTTATAGGTCCTACTGTAATATTAAATCATAATCATAGTCTGGTAAAGTGTCCAGCACATATTAGGTGCTGCATAACTAATAAATGAATGATGACTATTAAATATTCACACAGTGTAGAATTCCTATGGTGTACATTTCCTATAGTCCCCGGCATCACTTACAAGGGGGCTGGATGAAGCTCTTAAGAAGATATTGCAGTAGTATAAGGGACCATCCCCCACAGACTGCCTGTGGGGATGGATGTAGTTGTGTAGCTATAGTTTCTATGCTGGTTTCCAGGGAATTTTCTGTAACTCTCTGTCCCTGGTCTGTTCTCTAGGTCTACTGCACAGGCATGCGGGGTATTGCACTGTTCACAGCGACTCTGGGGTTGTGCCTCACTGTTTCTCTGGCAGCATTTGGATGCAAAGTTGTCTGTTACCAGAACTCTGAAGATGATGTGGTAATTAAACAGCAGCTGAATAGGGGAGAAGGGGAAGAGAGATAGAATAGGAAAATGGGGATCTCTATTTTAACAAAATAGCTATAACTGAAGACAAACACAGCTCCAGTTCCAGCTTTGTCTCTCTTGTTGACTGCAGGCTACACTTTGCTTGGAACTTTATACAGAACATACACCTAGTGGCTGAGTAATATGCTACACATAAATTATATCATTACACAGACGGTGGGCAAAAATGGAGGGAGGCCTGGGGTGAAGTTCCTAGGTACAGTGCCTTTTTATAGCAGGGCAATCAGGATAGGTGGGTGCTGGGAGGAAGCAGGATGGCAGCCTGGGGTTGGGTTTCATCACTGCTGTATGTGTGGATTACTCAGCACACTGTGTTTCATTTCTTTTCCAGCCCATTGTTGCCCTTAGCTCTCATGAGGAAAAAGCAGATCCTGAGTGAGAGGGGGCCCCCTTCCTGCCACCAGCCTGAGTGACATCACCAGACAGGTCCCCCAATGGACATGCCAGTGGTTCCCCCTGCCCCGAGCAAGTGCTGCTTCACTTCTGAGCAATAACCCATGGCAAGGGGTGGGGCCAAGTACCCAAGCAGTGCAGGATTCTGTGCCAAGGGGCACAGCCAGGCAGACCTTCTCCCTAGTAGAGATTGGCAAATTCCCCACAACCCCTGCCCCAGTGACTATTCCCACTGGCTTCTCCACCCAGCTGGCAAATGGCCTGGATTCTTCCCTGGTCAATAAATGGCCTCTATTTCCCCACCTGGGTACAATTAAAAACTACCCAGCTAGGCAAAAATACAGGCCACTGACCAAATGGATCAGAACACTTCCATGCCCCTGGGCCCCCTGAGCCACTCAACTCCAAAGGAATGAGAAAGGATGGGGTTATCCACCAGAACAAAGCCACTGGGCCATTTGCAGCCCTGGCCTAGGGAGATGCCCCTACACTGACTTCAAAGGGAGTCTGAACCCATTTACACCCGGACTGAATTTGACCTGTTTTGTCACCACATCACATGATAGTGCATTTTCCCCCATATAGGACCTGTTCGTATAGGGCAGCACCATCAAAAGTGGGTGTATGCAGGGATAATAGGAATGGTGGTACTTGGTGAGTGTGTCTTCAGAGACAGACACAGGCATCAACTTGACCTGGGTTATTGCTGATCTAAATTGTCTCTTGCTTTCATTTTTTAAAACAAATTAAACATTTCATTAAACCCCAGAATTCCTTCTATTTCTGGTGTATCGGGAAAAAGATCTTCCATGGATGCAGTGTCTCCCATCCCGATGAATGCCACAGTCCTGACTTCAGAATGGTTCTATACACTAGAGCTGAGCAAACATTGGAATTTCCATCCTGTAGGAAGTTCTGACAGTTTGATGCTTGTTTCCATCCAAATCAGGACAAAATATTAATTCTTCACTGAACATGAAGTTCTGAAAAATTTTAATTCAGAAATGTCTGAACACTTCCTTTTGCCATTTGCTATTGAACTGTTTTGAGATACTTTAGTGTTTACAGCATCTGCCTTAGATGCTGTAGTGCCTCATGGGAGTTATAGTTTGGATGCAGGATGCCCTAATTCTTCTTTATGAGCTTTGTTCCCTTGCTGGACTACTCTTCCCATGATGCATCATGCAGCTTGGTTAGAGGGGTGGCTGAGTTGCATCATGGGAGATGTAGTCTGTCCAAGGTACCTGGCCCATGGAGGAGAATTGGAGAATGAGGCACTGTAGTGCCATAGGCAGACCTAATTTAATGTCAAACTATCACAAAACAAAACTTTGCTTCAGTTCAACGACCTGAAATGTGTTGATTAGGGTTGAAATGGTCCAAAATTAAATGTTTCATTTTGATTTTTCTGACAGAACTGAAAAAATTCAGCAGAAATCAAAATTTTTCCACAGATAATTTAGATTTTGTAGAAACTGTTTTCTGTCAAAACCCCCTTGAAAATTCCTAACCAGCTGTAATATATACCTTTCATATGGAAAGCCAATGGTGAAGGATAGAATCCTGTCATTGTGGTTACCCCTGTCACAGAACCCATAAATTTTGCCATTGATATGGACCCTGTGGCTGTGCATTAGCAGGTTGTTAGTTCACTTTGATTTAGTCCTGTTTCTAAGAGGACTAGATCAAAGCAAACTAACCAACTGTTAATGTGTGGAAGCTGACCTTATTTTTTTGTTGCATGAGCACAGTATTTAATGCTTTTTTTTTAAACCAAGACTGTGCTGTGACTGATACTATCTTGTCATGGTAAAATTATGCATCTGTACCAATGGCATATTACAGATGCTGAGTTTTGCATTCAGTCAGGAAGTGCCAGAGTTTTAGACTGCAAGCTCCCCAGGCATGCACTGTCTCTTTATCTGTACCTGTCTGCCACCTAGCCCTACAGAGCTGACTCTGAGTAAGGTATGTGGCTGCTACCCTGATATACTTCTTTAATGAGAAGAGAATTCAGAATCTCTCATCTTTCTTCACGTGCATGAAGCTGCAGTCAGCAAGACAGGAAATGACATGGACAGACAGCAGTATTCTGCGACTGGCATGCAGCCACCACAGTTATTGTGGACACTATGACAATCAGGATCCATCTCTCAGACTCTTTGCAAAAGAAATGGGCATGAGCAATGTTGGCCTAGATTTTACCCTGCCCCTTGTGGTCAAAGGATGAAAACATCAGTGATCATTGCTTTCCCTGGATCATTCTGAGGCTATATAGGGCCCTGCTTAGTACCCAGTGTACGTTAGGGCAGCTCTGAGGTTCCTGAACTTATGCTTTGCTTCCATGGCCCGAGGCAGCTGAGAATATCCATCAAGTGGTGCACTCTGGCCACATGTCTGCCTCTCCCCTGATCTTCCCCCTCGCAGGGGCTGGGAGCCTATCTGGTGTAGCTCCTCCATACAGCTCTGTGCCATGGGGAGGCAGGCTCGCACCAAGACAAGGAGAGCTGGATATAAAGCATGCTCTGTTTGGGGGAGGGGAGGTCTGGCTACAGAACCAACTCCCACAGGGGATCACTGCAAAACCTTCCTCCTCAGAAAAGCTTTTCCAGCTGGGAAGGGATAATTTATATACCCCATCCTGGCTTTGAAAAGGTTAATTGGCATGAGGCCAATTAACTCATCTGGCTGCCCCTGCAGGCCTAATTAAAAATGATGCCCAGCTGGAGAAGAAGCTGCAAAGTGGTGACTATAGTGTGACCAGTTGTCCTGATTTTATAGGGACAGTCCCGATTTTTGGGTCTTTTTCTTATATAGGCTCCTATTACCCCCCACCCCTGTCCCAATTTTTCACACTTGCTGTCTGGTCACCCCTAGGTGACTATAAAGAAAGGAAGCACGGATTAGGCGGAGGCTGCTGGGGCAGAGGGAAAGAATGGTACAGTCCCTCTCTGGGGATGGGTAACTAGGGAGATCAGGAGGGTCAAGGGGGAAGCCCAGGGGGAGAGTGAGACTGCACTGGAATCCTTTTCTGAGTTAGAGAAGTCTGGTAGGAGGCTAGCAGAAGCAGGCTGTGGTGGTGAGCCCTGATAATAGGGCAGACTTTGAACTTCCAGGGAGAGAACCCTGGGGCGTTTCAACAGAGGAAGGGACATGAGGTCAAGCCTAGGGAGGGCAGAAGCAGGTTTACATTTGTATTTCAGTTTGGGATTTTGGTGGGGGAGGGTCCTGAGAGAAGGGTGAACTTCAAGAGGGGGAGGAGAAGGCCTGGAAAAGAGGCTGTTGTAGGAAGAACTCCAGGCAGGTAGCAGCAAGGAGGCTGAAGGAGCAGACCTTGGGCGGGCGGGCGGGCGGGCGGGGGGGTTATAGGATAAAGATTGTGTGACATTCCCTGACATTAGAGGGTAAGGACTTTTGAGAGCTCTGACATAAGGACCATGGGGCCCACAGCAAACACAAGGAGTGGAAATATTATTTGTTAAACTTTCTGTTACCCAAAAAGCGGTGGAACTAAAATGTGGCCTGATTGAGTTGTGAGAAGATATGGACCACAGTGGAACTGGAGCAACCATGGACATGGGGTGCTAGAAACAAAAGAGCTGCTACACCATGCCCACCCGTGAGGGGGTGCACCTGCTGTGAGTCAAGTCTTCTACACCGCCATAAGAATGATGCTTGTCCAACAATCAAAACTCCCTTACCCAAAGCAGAGTTTGGACCCTCTCAAGGGAGAGGTGCCAAACTCTGTTTCTCTATTGCAATCGATTTTACATGGAAAGTAACCAGATACCAGGGTGATGAGTGGTAGCATAAAACTTTAAGATAGCTCTATTGTAGAGGATAATGGAATCCTCCTGGGGAATTAGTGGCACTGAATAACATCATGGCTAGAAAACGTGATGTTTTTTTGCAGGGGGGCTAGAACTGGCCAAAAAAGGGAGTGTGGTAGCGGTACAATGCAGATCTCATAGCCCAGGGAGCGGCCTGTGACAGCTGGGCACAAAGCGTTGTCAGTCGAGGGGATCTGGCTACGGAACTATTAGCCAGATGAGATCAAGCTAAGCCAGAGTCTGACTCTTTGGGAAATGTTGCAAAACATTCCTCTTTGGGGAAGCCGTTCCACCAACACAAACACTCCCTTTTCTTTCCAGCCCCTCTCCCACTAAACAATAAAACCCTGTCCCAAGCAGAGTTTTTGACCCTAAAAATAGAAAAGTGCCAGTGACCCCAGGAAATCTGCTAGGGATTTTATTATTTATTTCATGTGGACAGTACTCAGATGCCACAATGATGGGTGGCAGAATAAACCCCTAAAATAGATTAAATAGATTTATTCAAGGGATAATAGAATAATATATACATAACAAACAGCAGTATCTATGCCATACCAAGAGTCCTAGACCACTGTGATATCAGAGGTAACTCAACCAATCACCACTCTTATTCTACAGATAATTTGCATACAACAATTTCATTGGTTGCATAGATGGTGGCTTACTTGGCCCAGCTGCACAGTTCTTCAAAAACATCCATACAACAACACAACTAGCACACGCAATAACCCGAAACACGTAAAGCCTCTCACTGTAGCACACCCCCATCGTTCATCACCCGCACAAATCAGCACAAATTTTCTAGCACAACACAACCTGCAAACAAATCAACACAAGCAGCACACACAATAAACTTGAGTGGCACGGCTGTGGGTCATTACAGGGTGGGGGCCCAATAAATGGCATTGATGAAAGAATATATCACCCCAGGAGGCGTTGATAGGGAGGGGTTGGTTAGAATCACACAATTAGCCCATAAAGAGAGCGTAGCAGGTATGAGCTACACTTCTTGTAGCCAAGACAAGCAAGAGGGGAGGGAAGGAAAGGAGCATTTTGCAGCACTGGGGAGAAATGTTTACATCTATTATGAAATGAACTGAGAACAGGAATAAGCCGTGAGCCAGGGACCAGACTGACTGAGCCCTCAGAGTTGCAAGGTTTCAGAGGTTCTCAATGAACCCTATCACAAGAAGAGAGTTACCAGTGAAAGCCAAATGCTGTGTGTTATGGAACCTGGGGATGGCCCACTCTAGCCATGTGATGGCCACTTACCGATCCTAGTGATGATGCAGAACCCAATAGGCTCTGTGCAGCTCAGTTCAGTCAGTGGGCCTCACACGGCAGGAGTGAGATTAAAGCCTAACCCATCAGTGGGAGCATGTAGCAGGCACGTGTGCTTTTGGAGAGTGGGGGTTACACCCCTACAAAATCTGTGGCTGGAAAGGGCTTTCCAGTAGAGCCCTGTGAATAATCCTTTTTTTTTTTTTTTTTGGTTCACTGGCTGTACCAAAATGTTGGGGTGGGGGGATTCACTTTGGATTGAACCACAACAAAAATAATTTCAACATTTTTGGCAAGCCACAAAGTCAGGAAAAATATCATTTAGAGTTGAATGGAAGGTTTCAAATAACCAATGTTGTTTCATCTTTGAGCTATTATTTTTTAAGAGTTTCCTAATTTTTTAAAAAGAAGATCAGTTAAGTTATCAGAAAAGGTGTGTTGAATCAAAAAGTTTGGTTTTGAAAATGTTGAGTTGAAACTTTTCAATTTTTGTTCAGAAAGTTTTAGGTTTTTTTTCCCTCTCTGATTTGGAGAATTCAACACAAATTCGCAAAACGTTTCAGTTGATCTGAATCTGCATTTTTCACCAGAAAAAGGTTCAAGCCAAATATTGCACCTAACTCTCCTTTCCAGGACCGGGAAAGCTGCCCCTGTATTGGGTCTAAGGCTGGAGGAAGTCTCCTGAAGGAGGAATGGGCCAGATGGGGCCTGTGGATGGGTCACTCTCATGACTCCTGGGGGGACAGATGTGCTAAGTGTCTACAGATCCCTGAGCGAGGATGGGGGTGGGGAAGCAGACCAAGCCTGATGTTGAAAGTCCCTTGTTTGCGGTAAGCATCCGGCAGCCCTGTGGGAGGTTGGGACATTTCCTGGAAGGGGTGTCCTGGCTGTGATGTAACAAGGAGGATCGGATTGGTCTGGCAGGCGAGTGGCAGGAGAAACAGGCGCGGAGCTGGTGCACAGCACTCATGCCGAGAGCCCACCCCTGTGCTGGGATAGAGCAACACAGGTGAGCACTGGATGGGAGATGCAGGTCCCAGGCAGGGCTGAGTGAGTGAGGGGACAATGATGAGGACAGTGGATGGGATGAGGGGTTTGGGGCTGGATCACTTGAGGGAGAGGTGGCTGGCCTGAGCGGGGTGAAGGACCCTCTGGGGCAGGACAGGACCCCTGCCCCTCATTCCCCCTGGCCAGAGGAGTCTCCCACCCTGGGAACCCAAAATCTGTGTCCTTATCTGTGTCCTTATCCTCTGCTTCCAACTTGCCTCCTAGCTAGAGACCAGGCCTGTTCCCCCTCCCTTGGGGCTTCCCCCACAGGGACCAGGCTGATCCTCCCAGGGGTGCTTCTCTAGGGAGGGCTGCACAGGCTGGGGACAGAGAGACTGAAAGAGAGGGAATGGATGACTTCAAAGGGGAAAATACAGCGGGATAGAGAGGGTGGAAGCGTGGGAGAGAAGAGGTGAGGGAGACAGGTTCTTAATGGGGTCAGGACATGGAACTCCTTTAGCAGGACATGGGAGTGATGCTGTCAGGAAATGGGTTGCACGGAGGTCGTATAAGATCTCCAATTACTCTCAGGTTTCTGGCTGGGTTGACCCCATCTCATTTTCATGGATTCTGAGATTTAAAGGCCAGAAGGGACTGTTAGATCATCTGGTCTGACCTCCTGTGTGGGACAGGCCAGAGAATGTCACTCAGTTACACCTGTGTGGAGCTCAGTAACTTGTGTTTGGCTGAAGCCTCTTCCAGAACAGCCTCCAGGTTGGATTTGAAGCCATCAAGAGATGGAGAATCCACCATTTCCCTTGGCAGCTTGTTCCAATGGCTAATCACCTGCACTGTTAAAAATGTGTGCCTTGTGTCTACTTCGAGTTTGTCTGGCTTCAGCTTGCAGGCATTGGTTCTTTTTCTCTTTCTCCGTTAGAGTAACAAGCCCATTAGCTCCTCATATTTTATACCCTGTAATGGCTGTTGCCAAGTGGCTACTATAACTTAAGAAAAGACACTGGAGACTTTTAAGTAACAGTTAACACTTCTCTGAACTTGTAGCTGAGAACTGTACAGATTGGTATTGCCGGCTTGTCTGCCTGGCTCCAAGCACAAGTCTGTGCTTCTGTTCATAAGGCTCACTGCATAATGATTCCCCCCATACAACACTCGGTTCCTACTCCAAAGTTCCTACTAACATTACATCTGCTCTTTAAAAAAAAAAACATTCAAATTAACTTGAATAGAATTCGTTAGTCTCTGTGGGTACATCTACACTGCAATAAAAGACCCAGGGCTGACCCAGATCAGTTGACTTGGGCTCATGGGGCTTGGGCTGCAGGGCTATACAATTGTAGCGTAAACATTCAGGCATGGGCTGGAGCCTGGGCCCTGAAACCCCGTGAGGGGTGGATCTCAGAGCCCTGGCTCTTGCCTGAGCCCCAACATCTATATTGTAATTTTATAGCCCTTCAGCCTGAACCCCGCAAGCCTGAGTTAGATGACCTGGGCTCTGAGACTTGTTGCCGTGGGTTTTTTTATTGCAGTGGAGACATACGTGTATCTAGCAGGTTTTCTTATTGCTCTGCCTTTAGAAGTAGTAACAGGACTATCAGACTCCCATTTCTTTTCTTCTATATTCAAACTGACCACTTGAGACTCAGTAGACTGGTCTGGTATTGCCTGCATGTCTGAGCTGGATGTTGACACCATTTCTGTTTGTTCCATATTTTCATTCCCCTCCTGTCCAATTCTTTCAGTGCCCATCAAATCATTTCTGTTTCTTCTGTAGACATCTCCTTCCTCTGTGTTAACAAGATAAGATCTTGGAGCAGTGTATTGGTCAATCGCCTTAGCAGGTTTCTGTGCTCTTTTTTTCACAAATACAAACCATTTCTCCTTTTTCCAGTGGTGATAAAGGTTTTGCATCTTTGTCAAAAAATATTTCTGCTTTGCTTGTCTCATTTTTAGGTTAGTTTATATGTCTCCTTGTATTACCTGGGGTTGCAACAGCTTTGATGAAGTTGGCAATCTGGTCCTTAGATGTCTTCCCACAAGGAGTTGAGCAGATGATCTTCAATCTCCCTTACTCCCTAGGTGTATTAGTCCAACAGGCTAAGATACAGATCTGTGTTATCCACATTAGCTTTTTTTAAAGAACTCTTTGTAAGTTTGAACTGCTCTCTCAGCCATTCCATTCGATTGTGGGAACAATGGACTAGATGTTTTATGAACAAAGTCCCACTGCTTTACAAAAGTTTTGAAGCCTCTGGAGCAAAATTGTGATTCATTGTCACTAATGAGTTTTTCAGGGACGCCATACCTTGTAAATATAGACATGCAGCATCAATGACAGATGCACTGGTGGTCCTGAAGCAAGCAGACTTCTGAGTATTTTAAATAATCTGCCAGAATAAGATAATCTGCACCTTGAAACGCAAACAGATCCATCAAGTTGTCCTGAAGTGGCTCAAGAGCATGAGCAACCCCTTGGCTCCTAGGGAAGCCTTCCTTTGTGATAGATGGTCCATTGCACCAAAAATCACAACAATATTCAGGTTACTCCTAATCTCAAAGGTCTGGTCACCTACCCCAGGTCAATAGCACTTTGGATCTCACACCAAAGACAACACTTGGAGCCAATCCTATAATAAACTCTCTAAAGATTTATTAACTAAGAGAAAGAAATTAGAGTTATTTACAAGGTTAAAGCAGGTAAACACATACACACAAACGAGTTACAGTCCTAGGTTTCCGAAGGTGATGGCAGGCAACTGCTGTAATATGCAATCTCTATATGTCCTTTAGGGCTAACCCAGGCAAAGCAGCTAGGGATTCCTTGCTCATGCTTAGAAATCTTGCCCTCCCAAAGTCCAAGGAACAGAGAGATCTATTTTCTTCTTGTTAGGGATTTTTATTCCCTTCCTTCCAGAGTTCAAGCTGATGGGATGAGTTCATGCACACGTCTCCTCTTCATAGGGACTTTTTTTTTGGCGGGGGTGTGTGGGTGTGGAATTAACAAAGTCTTTGTTCTTTGATGTTTCACTGACTCATTTGGTTTCAATGGGCCTTCTGGTGGGCAGGATGTAACACCGTCTGTACCATTTGACTTTAGTTAATGCTTCTTTCCTGTTCAGTGAGTTACACAGTTACAGGGGTTTACAATGCAAACACTTACTATTACCTTATCACATGCGGTACAGATATTATCAGTGAGATTAACACATGCAGCATCCTACAAGCATTTCATAAAGTCTAAACACTACAGACTTAACATCTATTTTAATGCCACTAGAACGCAGGTGAGCCAGACTGGTTTCCATCTATGCATTGGTCAATGTTTATTTGAGGCCTACGGATCTTGGCATGAGCTGGCACCAAGTCTGCCAGCCTCACAAGGTCCATATCAAGTTTCTGCCAAGGTCTGTTTGGGACCTCTTGTGGTAGCATTGGTTCCTTTCGATTTTATGTTTCTGAAGGTTTGACATGCATTGCAAGCATGTACTGTGTCCTCAATTTGACTACACCTGCCTGGCAAATAGACAGCATCTTGAGCTCTCCTTTTACATAGCTCTGCTCCCAGTTGACTCTCACGAATAATAGCCAAGATCTCTTTTCTGAGACTTTTCGGTACTATGATTCTGTCACTTTTAAAGACAAGTCCATTTTGCACACTTAGTTCCTCTCTATATGACCAATAAGCACGAATAACCTCTGGTACTACAGATCTATTGTCTGGCCCTCTTTGCCAAATAGTTTGCAGAACAACATCATTTGCAGTATCTGCTTGGAATTCCTTCAATTTCTGTTTGGCAATAGGCAAATGAAAGCTAATCTGATGTAGTGCAACATCAGCTTCCTCTGAACTTACTCCTTCATCATGCAACATGTAGACTCTGGATAAAGTGTCAACAATTACTATAGTAATTCTTTCCATGGTCTGTATCCAACTTCCAGTTGATATTTCTGGAGTATTAGCAACCACCTTTGAATCCTTGATGGAGTACTATTGTAACCCTTCTGCCCCTCTGAGTTGGCAGCAACAAGGGCCGGGTTCAGTATCTAGGGGTTCCGTTTCAATAACGCAATGCAAAACCGGCTTGAGCCCCCACCCAGTGACCTGGGGCAATTACATACCAACCCCCGGGCGCCTCTAGGAGGCAATACTTCCCCTCTCGCAAGCACGGAGTCTGAGTGTAGCAAAAGCCTTTTAATAAAGGAGGGAAACAATGCGGCATTATGTTGGGGAAACACCACAAACAGGATTCATAACACAAACCATGAGCAAAAGACCCACCTCCAAGTAAGTTTTGGCAGTGTCGTTTTCCCCTCAGGTTCTTAAGTCCAATCACCCCAAAGTCCAACAACCCCAAAGTCTCTGTCCCTGGTCAGTGCCACCCCAGAGTTCAAAAGTTTATCTGCAGAGTTTTACCCCCCCAGCCTGGGCGGAAATGGGGGGGGCGCACACGGGATGTTAAGGGGCACCTTACGTGGTCCGAGGCCAACTGCCCCACCTCTTCGTGGAGTTCTGCTGCAACCTTTACCACGAATGGCTCCGCTCTACCAGCCGCGCCACGCCGCTCCTCCAGCCGTCCCCGCAAACTGCTCCACTCTGCTCCCCGTTCCGTGGGCCGCTCCAACCATCCCACAAACTGCTCAGCTCTGCCAGCCGCTCCACTCCACCAGCCATCCCATGAACCACTCCAGCTGCCCCCACAAATGGCTCAGCGCCGCTCGCTGTTCCATGGGCTGCTCCAACTGTCCCACAAACTGCTCGGCTCTGCCAGCTGCTTAGCAATATATTTTCAGGTTCCCCCACTGGTTAACACAGCACTCAGTGAGCTCAGCTCAGCAATTTTAGCTCTTTTAGTGATTTCAGCTCATAGTAGGGGAGTCCTAGTGCACCATTGGCCCAAAGTGAATTCAGATCAGCAACTTCTAGCTAGACTCCAAATGAAAGCAAACTTAGCTCTGCTATTCAACAGTGGGGAGGCAAAGGGAATTGGTGTTCCAGGCCCTCAAAAGGGGCCCATACCATCACATACATGTCCCCACCCTCTTTCAATTCACTGGATTTTGTAACCCATGCCCCTTGTCTAGCGAGTGCTACTTAGTTACTGGTGAGTCCCTCTGTCATACAACAGTTCCACTGGCCTTGATTCACAGAATCAGGGTAACAACACTTTATTCTTCCTGCCCCAATAACAGAGAAACTGGGGATCCCACACCAGCCAAAGTAACCACTTTCAGTTGTTGTTGTTGTCCCAGGCTAGGCGGGTGGGTGTGCCTATGCAAACAAGATCAGCCCCTGAAGTTCTTTTCCACCCTCACCATAATTCACCACCAGATGTCAGGCTAGAGCTTATCCTGACTCTGCTTACACTATGAAAAGGTTTTCTGAAAATGGCCTCAAGACACTTGTGATTGCAGCCTTTTCATCTGCATGTCATACATCTACAGCACATTCAAGGGTTAAACTCGCTCGCACAGAATCAGACACAATATCACACACAATGGGGTCTCTACTGAGCAAGTCACACAGTTCTCCACATTTGGAGGATTGTGCTGCCAGTTTTCCATCAGTAGCATGCTGGTCTATATTTTCCCCATCTGTCTGACTTCAAGTGAAAACTGTTCCAGTCTCATATTGGATATTTCTTGGCAGTGGACAGTGGGCCTCAAACTTACTCTTTAAGACCTGTATATCTTTTTATCTGCTGTACAGGGCCGGCTCCAGGCACCAGCATTCCAAGCAGGTGCTTGGGGCGGCAATCTGCAGGGGGTGGCAGTCCGTATGTTTTTGCCGCCCGAAGCAGCGCGCCGAATTGCCGCTGCGGATGGCAGGGGCAGTCCGTGTGCCGTTAGGGTGGCCTGCCCGTTTCCGCGGTGGCAGCAATTCAGCGGCATCTTCTATGTTCAGCTGCCCGCGGCGGCAATTTGGCAGCTTCTGTCTTCCGGCTGAAGACTGAAGCTGCCACCGAATTGCCGCCGTCGCGGAAATGCACGTGCCGCCCTAACAGCACACGGACTGCCCCCACCATCCTTGGCGGCAATTCAGCGTGCTGCTTGGGGCGGCAAAAACAGTAGAGCCGGCCCTGCTGCTGTATCATCAAATAAAGAAGTGTTAAATACTTCTCTCATTTCTTCACCTGCCTTTATGAAGAATTAAAGCTGTTTGCAGCCACTTGTCTTTTTTGTCTCTGCCTCTCTCAGTGCCATCTTTGCTTCCATTTTCCCCAGTTTTCTGCTGCATTTCCTTCAAATGAAAACTTTCCTGGAAGCTTTAATTGGTCCATTGTTTTCCAGATTCATTCTCTTCTAGTCTTACTTTCAGTTTTGTTCTGACACCGTGTAATAGCTGCTGCCAACTTGCTATTATACCACCAGAAAAGATACCAGAGACTTTTTAAGTACAGTAACTCCTCACTTAACATTGTAGTTATGTTCCTGAAAAATGCAACTTTAAGTGAAATGATGTTAAGCGAATGCAATTTCCCCATAAGAATGAATGTAAATGGGGGGGCTAGGTTCCAGGGAAATTTTTTTTTTTGCCATACAGTACAGTACTATAGTTGGGAGGTGCCCCTGCCTTACCCCACACAGGCACTGGCACTGAAGACAATGAGGGAGGCAAGGAGGCTGAAGGTGCTTTAGGCTAGGAGAATCATGTTGCGCAGCAGCAGCTTCCCCTACTCTGCAAGCACCAGAAACAGGGGGCTCAACCCTCGGCCCGTCCACTCCACCCCTTCCCCCAAGCCCTCACCCTTAATCTGCCTCTTCTCCCCCGCTTTACTCCACACGCCGCGTCCTCGCTCCTCCCCCGTCCTTCCCCTGCCTCCTGCCCGCAGCAATCAGCTAGATTGCAGCATTTAGGAGGGAGGGGGGAAGCGCGAGGACATGGCGCGCAGGCTCCCCCTCCCTCCCCTGCCTCCTTCCTGCGGCAATCAGCTGGTTTGCGGCGTTCGGGAGGCAGAAGAGGGAGGGGGAGCCTGTGTGTCGAGTCCTCGCTCCTCCCCCCTCCCTCCTGCCCCCTGAACGTCTCAAGCCAGCTGATTGCCACGGGCAGGAGGTGTGCCGCGTCCTCCCTCCTCCCCCCTCCCTCCTGCCTGCGGCAATCAGCTGGCTTGCAGTGTTCAGGAGGCAGGGGAGGGAGGGGGAGCCTGAGCACCATGTCCTCGCTCCTCCCCCCTCCCTCCTGAAAATGCTGCAAGCCAGCTGATTGCCGTGGGCAGGAGGAGGGAGGAGGAGGGGGAAGGCGCTGATCCGTGGGGTCTGCTGGCGGGCGGGAGGTGCTGTGGGGTGGGGGCGTAGGGGAGCTGATAGGTGGGCTGCCAGCTGTGGACAAAGCAGGCAGCCAAACGACATTATAGCGAAGCACTGCACAACTTTAAATGGAGCATGTTCTGTAATTGAGCAGGGACATAAGATCGAAACAACATTAAGCGAGAGGACGTTAAGTGGGGAGTTACTGTAACAGTAAACACTTTCCTGAGTTTGTGGCTGAGAAATATACAGATAAGCATTGCTGGCTCGGCTCTAATTACAAGATGATGAGGCTCACTACATAATGATTTCCCCCATACAACACTATCGGTAACTGGTTACTCCAAAGTCCCTGCTAGCATTACATGCCCTGTGTACATTTTGTGCATGTTAGGCTGCTGAGTTGCTATTAGCAAGTCAGGCTCTTGTACCACATAATGGACTGGCAGCAGAGCCTTTCTTCTGGAGACATGTGTTTGCTATAAGATCCTTTAGTTCACTGCCAGGAATGGCTGTTGTGAGCTTAACTAAGGTATATTCCACACGGCGGCACCTAGCAGCTGAACGGTATAATGCAGTTTAGCATTCCAGTGCACCCCATGACCCAGTCCCTCTTGCACCCACAGGGCTGTCTTTCCCACTCCAGAGCCTGTGAGAAGTTTGTTCTATATCAAGACGCTGGGTTCTGCCATGTCGGAAGCTGGACCCCTGATGCAGCGGTTCCTCCAGGGGCAGCCCAGAGTCTTAGGGGTGAGCAGCGTGCGTGGAGGGTGGCCGAAGGCTGGAGAGTCTCTCTCTCTCTCTTGCACGCATGCATACACACACACACAAAGCTGTTGCCCCATCTCACAGCTCATCCCCTTGTTGCTCCGGCCTCACGCCCTCTGCCGACCCTGCACAGCACCTGGGGTCTTTGGGATCCTCTTGTCAGACAGGCCCTGGTGCCTGTTAGCCGGTGACTGGACACGGCGCCTGTCTCTGCCCCCTGCTGGTTGTCCTGCCCCTGCCCAGAGCTGCATGCTGATGGCGGGTTTGTTTCCCGTTTGCAGGCCCTCTTGCTGTTGGTGGGGCTGCTGCAGGTGGCCTTTGGTGTCCTCTTGGCCATTTCCCCCTGCGTCTATAGGGATGAGCTGCACGTCCACTTTTACTCAGCAGTGCTGGTGAGTGACCGACCCATTTCCTGAGCCTCCATGCCCAGCTCTGCCAGTGCTTCTCAGTCCCGACCCCTAGCCCCCTGCTATCTCACCACTGGGTTCCCTCCCCACCCCCCCCCCCACTGCTGTCCCCCCCAACCCCCCCCCCCCCCCTTTTTGCTACCCCACCCCCGGGTCCCCCCCCCCCCAGTTCTGCCAATACCCCTTAATCCTAACCTGCAGCCTCCTGCTATCCCTCCCCACCCCAGCTCTGCTGATGCCCCTGATTACTTTCTCTCATTCTGTCTTCCTCTCCAGTTGCTCTTGGCTGGAATCATCACTCTGGCTGCAGACACAACACACAGCCTGGCCCTGGTGAGTAATCTCTTGATAAATAAATAAATAAATTAATGGAGATATCCTATCTCCTAGAACTGGAAGGGACCTTGAAAGGTCATCGAGTCCAGCCCCCTGCCTTCACTAGCAGGACCAAGTACTGATTTTGCCCCAGATCCCTAAGTGGCCCCCTCAAGGATTGAACTCACAACCCTGGGTTTAGCAGGCCAATGCTCAAACCACTGAGCTATCCCTCCCCCTGGCCCAGGGCTACATCAGGGCTCAGTCACATCCCTCCTCATTCCTCTCCCCAGACAAGTGACCCTCCTAAGAGGGACTGTACCCTCTGGGCCAGTTGGGGCTGTGAGGCCCGAGGTATCTCTGCCTTGCACTGGGGAATTCTGTCAGAGGGTGAGGTGGGGAGAAGAGGAGGAAGCCACTGGTGAGGGATGGGCCTGGAGCAGTGGCTGAAGTGAACCCCATTGGTAGTGGTGCTCTGAAGGGCAGCTGTGGTACCCAAGGCCCAGCTGCATGAAGGGGAGCTGGAGCCATAGGCAGATCGAGGGGACAGAGCCAGGACGGGGCAGCCCTGGGGAAGAAAGGGGTGATCCTGGTCCAGTCCTAAGGAGAGGCAAGGCAGAGCTAGTTGGGAGGGAAGGGCAAGTCAGGACAGGAGGCCGAGCCCATATGTTAGTGTGAGATGGATCCAGAGAGGGGCTCTGCTAGGAGGTGATCTCTTGACGGGGCAGCTCCCCTCTGTACACTGGAAGGACTCTAGGGGAGCAAGATGGAGTTTAGGGCTACAGCCGTTATCTGTTCAGGAGCATTGGCCATCTCCCATTCGTACTCTTCAGCATCTTGGTGCTTCTAGCAGCGACAACCTTATCCCTTCATCTTCCAGGTGAAAGCCTGCCTGGTCATTTACATCATCTGCACGGTGGTGGTGGGCGTGATCAACTTATTCTACCTTGTGGACTTGGTGTACGATCCCCGTAACCGGTACATCCGGTGTCCTTCCAGCAACAGGTTGCACTGCAGGCGGCTGTACCAGATCTCGGTGGTCGCCTTCTCCATGGAGAGCTATAGAAGAGCAATGTTGGGGCAGCCAGCAGGCTGAGATCGGGGTAGGGGGGAGCAGGGATGGGAGTTGGAGATATATCTCCTGAGGAACTCAGGCCTGGGCTTCATTTCTCTGTCCCCCCGGGAACTGTCTCCTGGGGTAGGTGGGGGATTCATTAATTCCTGGAATTCCTCCTCCTGTTGATGGCTTCCTGGAGCTTGACTCAGTGGAACTGGACAGGACATGAGAATAGACTGCAGGGAACACTCCTTCCCATTCCCACCAAGGGATGGACAACGGAAACAAACAGGGCTGTCCGGTCGTTAGTTCCTCTGATCCGTGCTGAGTCCAGGGGCCTGTCTGTGATTCCCCATCTCCTGCTCTGTTTCCCAGCACTATTGCACGGGCATGCGGGCCATCATCCTGATCTTAACCTCACTGGGGTTCTTCGTTTCCATTGCCCTGGCAGCCTTCGGATGCAAAGCGGTGTGTCGCCAGAACTCTGCTGATGATGTGGTAACTACCCCGCTGCTACTGGGAGATGTTGGGAGGAGTGGGGTTAATACAGAGAGCTGGGGGGAAAGGAATAGAAGGAAACTAGGGATGGACCCTGGGAGGATTAGCAGAGATGGCAAGAGCATGGGAGACAGGCAGAGAGTGGCTGAGTAGAGAAGAAAGGGGAGCAAAGGGGTAAGACTGAGAGGCAGATGGGAGCAGATGCTCCATGGGGTGTCTATGAAGTGTTTACGTCTGTGCCTAGATAAGGGCAGGGAGATAGTAAAGCAATGAACAGACAGGCCAGGAAGCAGCTGCCCATGCCTGGGGGGTGATCGGCCAGAGCTACCCCACCTGAGCCATCACGCTCACTCCATGACTTTTTGTTTCGCTCCCAGCCGGTCGCCGCCCTGACAAATCCGCCCGCTTCCCACGAGTCCGCCGCGGAGCCCGAGCCTGTGGTGTCAGAGGGACCTGCGGCGTGAGTGTCCCCTGGTGGAGAGACCGACAGCCCCCCTCAGCAAGCAGCTACCCCATGTCCCTCAGCGAGAGGTGTTTCTGTTTCACTCTCTGCCTTCCCTCCATCATCCCCCCTCATGGAAAAGCCCCTGCTAACTGCCCTTGTGTGTTGTTGCTGCTCACATGCCCCCTGCTGGGCTACCGCACCATTGCGCCACGGTGCAAGCGCCCCCCAAAATCTGTTAATGTCCTGCAAGCCAAGGGCCTGTCCTGCAAAATCCTGGATGGGGAGAGGATGGCATAGCACCATCTGATGGGCCCTGCAACTAGCTAACAGGAAGTGGGCTAGAGAGAGGTGCAGAGCCTGGCACAGGTTATGGATTCCCTCAACCAAGCTCTGAACCCAGCTTCATCCATTATGTGTAATTGTTATGTGAAGGCATCTCCCTGAAACCTGGAACTCTCTGATTCATGGAGCCATAGATTCTAAGGCCAGAAGGCACCGTTAAAATCATCTACTCTGACCTTCTGTGTAACACAGGTCAGCGCATGTCACTCAGTTACCCCTGCACTGAGCCTGATAACTTGTATTCAGCTGAAGCCTCTTCCACAAAGGCATCAGTCTTGATCTGAAGCTACCAAGAAATGGAGAATCCATCACTTCCCTTGGTAGTCTGTTAATCATGTGCACCATTAGAAATTTGTGCCTAATTTCTAATTTAATTTGTCTGGCTTCAGCTTATAGCCATCGGTTCTCGTTATGCCTTTCTCTGCTCGATTACAGAGCCCTGGTATTTGATCTTCCACAAGAAGTCTACCGGGGGCATCTCCTCCTGCTTTAATTGGTGGGTCTATCAGCAAAGCTGCAGGCACGGATCATGACATGCGTTATTGCTCCAAAGGAATGGCTTTGCGGCTGATTGAGGTGTGCTGCCATTCCCCGCAGGATAGTTTCTTAACGTGTAGAACACCCCCTTCTTCAAAAAATAAACAAACAATCCAGTTTCACCTTGCTCATGGTTTGGTTGGTTTGTTCGTCTCTGAGATGAGGTTTACAGACCCCACAGGAGTTAGGAAAGGATTAATGGGAGCCTAGTCAGCCCTGCCCTATGACATCTGAGCAGGTGTCAGGCTTTGAGGAAAGAGCTAAAAAGGGAGAACCCAGCTCCGTTGCTGCCTGGTTGGGTAGGAGAGGAGATCTGGAGTGCTCACTGAGAGAAAGAAGGTTGGTGGAGGCCAGGAAGAGGGGGAGACTGCTGCCTATTGCAGGCTCCCTGCGGGAAGGGAAGAGATTTTGTTTCTTTGTGTTCAGTTTGGACTTTGGTTGCCCTGGAAGCGGTGGAACATTGATGTGACCTAGCTAGCGGGCAGCTTCACCTCAGCCTGGAAGGTGTTGGAGGCTGGGTGGATCAGCTGAAGGCCTGGAGGAAAACAGAGGCCGAGCCTCTGGTGGTGGTCTATGCCGTGAGGGCATGCAGCCACAGTCTCCTGAAATCTCTCACTGCTGAGTGAAAACATGGAGTGTTAGCCCATCAGCTCCAGTCGCCCGCCCTGCTGGGATCCCCGCTCCTCAGTTGAATCATGGAGGACTCTAAAGTAATTTCTGCCCTGTTCCTGCCAGTCCAGCTGATTATGCAGTAGCTTGGGTATCTGTGGTTCCCTTGTAGCATTCCATGTCTCGCAGCTGCATGCAGCCAGCGGGCTGGTTGCCTGACATGTTGGGATCTGAAAGTCAGCGGCGTTTCATGCTTGGTGGAGGATAAAATTAAAAATAATTAAATTCCACAAACTGTTCTGAATGTAGAAGGACTCACAAGCCTGCTCCTTCCTAGGCCCTTACGGGCTGTTCACTCACAGCCCTGAGCCACCAGCCAGCCCTCCATCCAGTCACAACGTAACACCCCAATGCCTGAATGCCAAAGGACGGTTTACCATAAGGAAAGATGACCCCAGCCCTCTAAGGCCTAAAGTAGAATTCTGAGTGCTTTCCTCAATCAGACAGAATCGAGGCTCCTGAAAGGAGCATCCGAATGTCAGTCAGAACAATAGGTGGCATCCTGACTGTTTCTACCCAATTGCTCTAGGAGTTTGTACTGCGTGTATCACAACAGAACCTGAGAATAGCCCTCATTGCATTTCAAAAGTTTTTATGCTGATTGGCTCCGTAATCCTGGGAGCATGGGGGATGGGGGGACTAGCCAATGAGGCCTCAAATTTGGGTATGATTAGGCTGAAGGAGGCTGGGGATGAGATTCCTTTCTTGGATTCCTCTAAACTACATGAGCATAGGCATTGACTCCGTGGGTGCTCTGGGGCTGGAGCATCCATGGGAAAAAAATAGTGGGTGCTCAGCCGTCACCAGCGGGCCCCGCAGATCAGCTCCTCCCCCTCCCCAGCGCCTCCTGCCCACCAAGGATCAGCTGTTCAGCAGCATGCAGGAGGTGCTGGGTGGGAGGGGAAGGCGTGAGGGAGAGGCACGTGCAGGAAGAGGCAGGGCGGGGGCTGGGGGAAGGGGTTGAGTGTGGGGCAGGGCCTGGGGCAGAGCAGGGATCAAGCACCTCCAAGAAACTCAGAAAGTGTACAGGAGACATTGCATCTTTCTCCCACTGGGGAGAGGTGGTGCCCTACAGGGACAGCAGGAAAAAGGGCAGAGAAGTCTCAGACACCCACATATAAAAAGGAACCAGGTAGAGTTGGTGGAATTACTAGTGTGAGTAGGGATGGGTAAAAGGTTTTGGCCAAAACCTGCTACTCCTTGACTGGATGGTTAAAACCTTTGAAGCAGGAGAATAACCAGTAACAGAGAGCAATAACTTATCTCAGGAATGAATTCTATTTTGGGCTAAAATCTCTGAAGCTATCAGGACTTGCAGCTGCTTTCCTTAATAAAATGGTGGCCTCCAAATACTTATGAGCAATGAAGAACATGACTGCAGCAGTGTCTTTGCTCTCTGCATAACACTAAGAATAGCAGGAATCAGTACAGGCAAAGCTGAGTTCCAGATAACTATGTTTACTCATAAGGCCTAGCTATATATATATATGGTCTGTTGAGTTCTGGTGGTTTCTCCCAAAGAAGACATTGAGGCTCACTAGATGACTTCCAAACTATTTAAAGGGATGTTATCCCATTCCTATACACTGCAAACCCATAAACTGCAGCAGAGCAGGCTTGCCGTGTTTATTTGCAAACCATATATTTAATAAGCTTTCAGGATTGTGTCACTCAGAAGCCTGTTGAGTCAGCGTGAAGTGATGGAAGTGGTTACAAGCATGGCCGAGAGCTGTTCTTGGTCAGAATATCCCCAGCTTGATTTCATCACTGGGATTCGCAATCTGTTACTGTCCAATTTTTTAAGTTCTCAGCCAGTAAATTACAGCCCGGGCTTTCAGCTAATGTTATCTACGTAATTAAGTGATAAAGAGTCAAGAAGGTTCCAAGAAAAATACTTAGATCCTCAGCTGCTGTCAATTGTTATAGCTCTGTTGGCTTGAGATCAATGCACTATAACAAGTGACACCACTGGGATGTCATTTAAGAAAAACTCGTGGGGGAGAGGGGGCAATAGATGAGTAATGAATGCCCACTGGCATGCTGAAGGGTTGAGAGCTGCATGATTACATCACATTGCAACCAACTGCGTTCTGTAGGGCTAGATCAGAAAAGAACAATGTTTGAAAAACTGCACTTCTTCTATATGTTTGGGAAGAAAACTTTATGATTGATTATATAGCTGGGGAAATTCAATCATCTTACATGTGATTATATTATATCCTGCAAAGTCAGGGCGGGGAGAGGGCAAAACTGGAGCACATAGACCTAAGAAAAGTCGGGGGGTGGGGTGGTGTAGTGTGGCGGTGCCCCACCCCCAGAGAAAAAGGGCTGAACCAGGCCAGAGAGGCTGTGCTGACCCGCAGCCAATCAGAGAAGGCCTGGGGAGAGCCAATCAGGGCAGGGGGAGAGGCAGCCAATCAGGACTGGGCTAGTCCTATGTAAAGGCTGCCCAGCTAGGGAGATATCAGTTGCTCCCTGGCTGGCCAGGGAGAAGGACTGGCTCCTATGAAAGGAGCAGCACCTTGGACAGAGCAGTGCTGGGCAGGCTTGGGGGAGCAGACAGGTGCTCCAGCCCCTTACCTGCTGCAAAGGGTCAGGAAGGTGCATAGGGCCAAAGGGGAAGTGGCCCAGGGAAACTAAGCAGGCGAGAGGGGAAGGAAGAAGGGCAGAGGGAGGCTGCCGTTAGAGGGTCCCTGGGTCAGGGCCCAGAGTAGTGGGTGGGTCTGGGTCCCCCCCCCTTTGTACTGCACCTGGCCTTTGTGAAGAGGGGCCGAGACAGACCGCAACTGGCCCCTGAGATAAGACTACAGGGTTGTGGATGGCCACCGAGGCAGTGCGGACGGAAGGACTGCTGTTACCAACACTCCCCCAGAAGGGGGTTAGATGGGACTAGTGGGCAGTGCCGAAGGGCAGTGTCCTGAAGTAAATGGAGACTATCCGGAGGAGGACGCCACTGAGCAGGAAGCCATGAGGGTCCCAGGGCAGCAGAGCTAATTATGAGCCCGACATCACATCTCGAGAGTGCTCCGCAGCGGTCGAGAGCTAATTCCCAGAGCAACCGGCAGGAGGCACCAGCAGTGGTGAGTCAAACCTCGTCACAGGGGGTGAGGCAAACCACAGTCTGGAGGGGGCAAATGCCCTCCTTGCCCTGTAGTAAATGACACCTCTTGAGACCACGTGAGGATTTGCCCCTTAGTGAGAGCTGACGTGCAGTAGATCCAGGGGAGGAGCGAGGACCCAGCTGGTACATTGTTTGTTTCATAACTGCCACAATATACCATCAATTCTTTGAATTTGCTTTGTTGTCATGTCTGCGCATTTGTGTTTCGACGTGGCGGAAATCACCACAGCCAGCTGCAAAGCTCAGTCTTTTTCAATTTGTGAAGCATATTAAGAGCAGGAAAACCATCACTCAGGCTGATTTCTCACAGCAAGGCCCAGGGGAGGTTAGTACAGCCCCTGTGTCTTCACAGGACATACGGGCTTTTACAGGGTTCAAGGCCAACTCATCAAGTAGCCCAGATAGAGACAGATCTCCCTGGGGAAGGGATTAAGTTATCTGGGTCTATGGTAAACCACTGCAAGGAGTGTACCACAGCCAACTAAAGCCATAA